CCCCTTTTTTTCTTCAGGTTTTACTTAGAATTTCTGTAACATTTTAAAATGTGATTTTCACTCTTTATGGGGGGAGGGGAATCACAGAACATTCTGTGCTTTAACAAAATTTTAAATGTAGTGTAGTTCAACAATAATGAAATTATATCAAAATTATATCCTGATGCCTGAAACTACAGGGTTTGTGAACTGGAGAAAGAACACCATTGTATCATTCTGATCTCCATATACTGAGAGGATTTTTTATGCAGCCGTAAGAAATACGCATCATTGTGGGCCAGATATATAATTAGAAGATTCTTTTACACAGAGAAAGTGCCCTTTGAACCAAGGCAGTGTTGCAGAATGCCAAATCCCAAAAGGAATGACATCTTCTGTTTTTCCAGATTACTTCAAAGGCTCGAGCTACAATTCTTTCAGCAACCACACTGCCACCAAAATGTTTCTGAGATACCCCACACAGCTCATTTCAGAAAATCTCTTTAAAAAGCAAAACAAAGAACTACTCTTGCTAAATATACTGCAGAGCAATTTTAACTATGGAAAAATAGCCACTGACCACCAAACTACAATGGAGCCTTTCTCCTACTAATTCCGCGAGATGATTTAAAGGCAAACCGACATTTGAACTCAGATTATCTTGCAGTGTAAGAGAATCTTCTAACTTTCTGACTTCTATGTCCACGTGTTTATGTGCGTATATAATATTTTTAAGTGAGAGAGGGAAGAAAGGAGAGATCACAAGAACACACATAGGTTACTGCAAGAATACGTATTTGAATAATCCTTTTCCTTTTTCCAAGATTTTTTTAAAAAAGCTGTTTCTTTCATATGGTTTTAATAGGAACAGTTCTTAAAATTTTCTATTAATGTTTTAAATCAGTCCTTGAATATTCAGCAAAGAACGCTACAGGCTTTGACAGAACAGTCTGAAACCCAAGTCATTATAAGACACATAAATTCTAATTTATATATCACATTTTAAATATTAAATGTAATTTACCACACACTGTATAATCCCAAGTGTAAGTATCCTATACTTTGAGTCTTCGTTGTACTTCTATCTGGCTCAAAAGAGAATTAGGTTATCTTCTTTCTAAAGCCAAAGCCCTTGAGAATATTTTAACCGGAACAAGTCTTTAGCATTAAAGAAAAATGCAGGGTCACAGAAAGTTAACATTTCAAAATCATATTTTGAAAACAGTACAGAAGGTTTCCCTTAAATATACTGGCAGATGGTAACAAGGGAAGGGAACTAGAAGTAACTGAACTGTTTACACTTTTCAAAACCAAGCACAACCAAAACTTTAAAAAAGAAGAAAAAATATATTAAAATGTTGAATAAGAATTTTCGTCTGACCTCGGTTAGCAGTCAGAATGTCTGTTTCTCCACAACCTTCCTCCCTTTTTATATGAATAACTTTGGTTTTGGTGGAGCCTCCTATAATTAACTGTGTTTGACTAAAAGCTGAATTTCATGTGCATGTCTGCTACTAAAACAATCTGTTGAGAGTTATTTTGCCCGACAATTATTGTCGCAAACCAATAAGCATATGTTTTCAAAGTTTTAAAATAGCCATTGCTATATAATTAGTTGCCATTTTAGAAACATTACAATTCTCAAAATTGGTTTAAATACATGAGACTGCAAAGACACCAAATTCTCAGCTACATGAAACCCAAAGGTATATGGGCATCTCTTGATCACAAGCGCAGAACCCATGGTACCAAGCAAAAACCATCATTTGGGCATATTCTGAACAGCTCATGTTAAGACTGAAAAGTGGAAGCCATGGGAGACAAGCTCAAAATTATTACCTCCTTCCTTCTGTGAACCCAGCAGGAGCTGTTCTCTCTCCACAGAAACTGCCTTGCCTGACACCCACCACTTTTCTACCAGCTTTCTTAATTAGAGGTGGCATCTTAATTAGAAACAGTCTTTAACACTGTTGGGGTGCTGACTCATGTCCTCCTCCTCCTCCTGTTACAGGGCCACTGCAATTTAAAGATTAACTGGCAGTCCAGAATATTCTGCTACTGGTCTGGTATTTCTCTGCAGTGTCATTTTGAGTCTCATATTGGACTGTGTCCTTAACCCAATAGTTGTTTTCATGTGTTACATCTTTGGCCATATCAAAGAACAAAAGAGTCAGAAGCCAAATATCTTGAAATTAAGAATTCTGAAACTAGCAAGACAAGCTGTAATATAAGGGCAGATGCTAAAATGATGATAAAGGCTTGAAGATTTTGGCAGCACAACAGACTACCAAAACCAGTGATAAAGACACTGTTCATGCACAGAAGAATGAAATAGACATTGCAAACCTCAGCGGATTCCAATAGACATCTGAATGATATTTCTTTGTAATGTAATTCCTGGTATCTCTTTGGTAGTTTTTTAGAAAGCTTATCAAAATAACAAAAAAAAAATCTGAACATACTGTTAACACATATTGACAACTAATAATTAACAACTTGTATCATGGGAAAAAAAAAAAAAAAGAGAGAGAACACAGGTTACAAATGAAAACAGGGATTCGCCTCATTTAAAAGGAGCAATCATCTTCCATTTAGCCACAACATTTAGCAAGCTGAATGGCTCTTCCTCCATTAACAGCTTTGAAAGGTGAGCAAATAAAAGAGTTGATTGAGCCAACAGGCTGGAACCCTCAGCTTCTATCAGGCCAGGAAATGAGAAACAAAGTGTCCTTACTCCTTGTTCCCTGCATGCTCAGTAACTCAAGAAAATACTTGTAAATATGAAAAATATAAAGCTCATCAGGTTTATAAGTATGACTTGATTTCTTTTAGAAGTCTTACATCTGAAATTCTCATAGAAATAACTATCTGCAATATCCATTGTAACAGACTAAACACTTAGTCAACAATCTAAGCAGGTAAATACATTCTCCTACCAAACAGGAAAGCCACTCTGCTTTCTTACCGTTGTCTCTGTTAATCCACCAACAGACACCGAGAGACCCAAAAGCACATAGTATTGGTATGCTGGCAAACGCAAAAGCTGGGTGATTCGAGGGAAAGCTTCTGATGGGGCATTCCAGTTTAGAGTCTCTTTCTCTGACCTGGGAAAAGGCAAAGGAAAAAACATAATCTTGTGTGTGTGCACCATCTTTCTTCTCCATACACTCCTATGATAGTTCCTCATCCTCAAGCAGCATGTCAGTGAAGAAAGTTTCTGAATTACCTCAAAATCAAATGAATTATTGGTCTTTAAGCATATGAGGAAAATACAAATCAAAACTTCAGCCACTGCCAGTAAAGTGAAGCAATCTTCAAGTCCTTGTTCTGATTCAGCTAAAGGATTTGGTCCACAGTTTACTTTTCACATGCACTTTTCTCTACACCAAGAGAACAAGTTCTCCTTCTTGCATTCCATTCCCAGTTCTCTCCCACCAATAACTGATACAAAGACAGACTTATCCCAGGAAAGGCTGACACACATACACCGCACCACAAATCAATCAGCAGCCTAGCAGACTGAGCACTTTTTGAGTCACAGGAGGTTGAGATTCTGCTGAATAAAGAGAATGGGGACACAAAGTTGGATCTTCCTCATCCCAATCAGATATTATAATCACCATTCAGGAATGAGTTGCTCTCACTCTAACTAGAAATCCCATCTTGGAAAACTACTGCTACTACAGCTTGGTTAAAATAATACAAGTAACTAAAAATTATCATTATGATCAATCAGTGTTTTCCAGTTGGGGAAAAAAAAAATCAGGAAGGGGGACTGCCAATAAATTCCAGCTCTCACCTTGTGAGAGAAAATGAGATTATAAACCAGACATTTCATAAACAGCAGGATTACCAAAACACAGCTCCCAGCAGATCTGTGTTACCAATGGTCTCCCAGCTATCAACTACTGACATGATCTCTGCCATCCACCATGAAACCGGCTGACTGGATCAACCCCAATTAATTTCCGAACCTGAGAAAGACTTATGCAGCTTGACCATATAAGACTGATCTCCTTCAGAAACTATGGTTTTAACATGCATTCATGCTGTAAGAAGTACTATTTTATATGTTTACCCATATTCATTGTACACCTCAATGAAATCCCAACAAACAGCGTCAAACATTCCTCAATACATATAGTAGGCATTTGGGCACAGAAATTACATCAGGTTGCTTGTGTTAGGTGTAACTGTCTGCATACATCTTTTTATTTTCACTGGTTTAGGATACCTTCTTCAATATATTACCTTGGAAATATCTTCTCTAGCTCTTCTCGATGAGGTATGTGTGGAACTGGAGGATGGTCAAAATGTAAAAGAGTAAGGAACACAGATCCTGCATGCGCTCTAAATTTATCTATTTTTTCAGCTGATTGTTGAGCCAGTGAGCACATCATCTGTTTGCAGCTACAAAGAAGAAAACAATTAATCACATAATTTAATCAGTAGAATGTGTATTTAAATGCAAATTGTTTCAACGATATCAAAAATATCCTGCTATGAAAGTGTTCTGGTTTAACTTTTCATAATGAACATACAAGGGATTTAAGACATCAACATAGTGACAGAATCTTTAAAGCTTTGTCATCCATAGATCAATCAAAAAAATGTCATGACGTTAATATTACATAGTACTTGATATTCACATACCACCTTTCATCCAAAAAGATATGGAAGTGCTTTATGGTTTGGATGAATTGCTACATTTCAGATGGAAATAGAGCAGGAACCATGGGAAAAGCACATTTTCAAGTAGAAAACTGCACATGTAGCAGAGGACAAGGTCTGTCCCAAATCTCATATATCCCAAATCAATCAGTTCTTCAACTCTGGCTAGTTTTTAACCATACCCTATTTTGCTGACATTCATAACTAAACTCTCAGCTACAATATTATGTTCCACAAGGCCCTTTACACCTTCAGAAAGGACTAATGATAGTAAAAGCAGCTACAATTCCTTCAGTTACAGCAAGACCCAGAATATTTACAAAATGAGATCCAGCTGGCAGGAATGATTTTTTAAGGTTCA